TGTAGATTATTCCAGAGTTACTTTGAAATATTTAACTTGGCACTTGTTTTTTAAAAGTAGAGCCAGGTGTGAGGTGTCAAGGTACATATGATAAAGAGGTGTTTGATACCACAAATTAGCAAACAAATTCTGATAAAAAAAAATCTGTTCTAAATGTGAGTAAGAAAAAGAAGGGAAAGAATTTGATAGAAGTTATATTAATACCACTTAATTCATTTTGACTTCAACTGTAGATTCAGGATAGAAAAAGTACAGAGTTGAAACTTCAGTTATGAACAAAATGTGAGAGGAAAGTATATTTTTTAAGCTGTCATGCATCAGAAAATTCTAGTGAGACATTAGACTGAAGAAACTAAGAATGTGAAAATGGAGAAGAAATATGATTAAAAACTCTAATGAAAGAAATAACCTCAATTAAATTAAAATTTATTATATCTGCCATCATTTTTTAAATTTTTAAATTATCAATTATGAAATTATAAAATATTCCAAAAATATAGAAAATAATATAACAGGTAAATCTCTGTTATAGTTTATGATCATTATTATTATTAATACTATTTTTTTAAAGCGACAGAGGTCTCACTATGTTGCTCAGGCTGGTCACAAACTCCTGGCCTCAAGTGATCCTTCTGCCTTACCCTCCAAGGTTCTCTCTTATAGTTTCAACTTACATTTAATTATAGATGACAAGATGCTGGATGCAGCTATGTTTAACTATGAAATTACTTCATCCTCACTGAAGTTTGAAACTCATGAATGAAAGGTGGTTCCCCCCAAAGATTTTTAAATTATCTGCCCCCAAAAAGGCAGTCATTAACAATCTTGGCCAAAACATAGAAAATTGTCTCTCAGAATAAGCACTGACTTCAGTTCTCTGGTAGTGTCTATATTTGAATAGGTCTTTATGTGAGTAGCGTAGATGATTAGCAATTACTATGCTGGAGAATTATTAAGGTCAATTTAATTCTAGTTGCTCTGAATTGAGGAAAACTTGAGATTGAGCCATAACTACATCAAACTGTTCAAAAGTAATGGCCAATTCAGATTCTGGAACTCTGGCTAGAGTTGAGGCTTCAAGTCCTGTTTTAACACATCTCAATACTTTATCTTTACCCTCAGGAGTTCTTTGAGTTAACCTCAATTGTAGTCATTTTCTCACAATTTGGGCTAAAGGTTAGTTTAAATTTTTGTAGAAAGGATTTCTAAATTATTTAACTGTGTTCCGGATTAATAAATATTCCTGGATATCTGAAATGTATGGTTTTCTTTTTCTTTTCTTTCTTTCTTTTTTTTTTTGAAATTGGTCTCTACTCTGTTGTCCAGAGTGGAATGCAATGGCATGATCACAGCTCACTGCAACCTCCAACTCCCAGGCTCAAGCAATCCTCCTGACTCAGCCTTCCAAGTAGCTGGGAGTACAGGTGTGCATCACCCACCACACCTGGCTAATTTTTTTTTTTTTTTAATAGAGATGGAGGTCTCACTATGTTGCCCAGGTTGGACTTGAACTCCTGGCCTTAAGTGATCTTTCTGCCTCAGCCTCCCAAAGTGCTAAGATTACAGGTCTGAGCCACTGTGCCCAACCTGAAATATATAATTTTGACTAGAGTTTTCCAAAGCAGAAAGCAATCTTATGCTTCTCTTTATTTATTTTTAAAATAAAATAACCTTTATGGTTTCTGCTACCATAGCAACTAAAAACTTTTTACTATCTCTACTAATTCTGATGAACAGTTTTGTAAAGAGTAACTGACAAAAGACTCTGGCACAAAAGACAGACCAGGATTCATTTCATTCCATAAGCATGGGGGCAGATGACACATGGCATTAAATAAGACTTAGGCCTAGGGTTTGCCTTCTAAAGTTGAGTGCCTCTTGAGACTGTTTTTATATTCAACAGGGAAGTGTGTGGGCATTGAAATTATGCTACATGTCATAGCCCAAATAAGCATTTGGTCATTTGAAAGAAACATCCAGAGACCAGAAAAATAATCTTACTAAAAGCTTCAACATTTTTGAAGACCAGGGAAATAAATGTCGAATTTTCCCTCCAAATTAGCTTTTTTTTTTTTAACGTGATACCCTTCTTTTTCCAGTCTCGTCAAAGCAGTGTTTCTGTCGTGTTTGTTCCATGCCTCCTCTTCAGTCGGTCCTGAAAATTGCCAGCTGCAAATTCTGACATGCCAAGGGTTCAGCTATATTTGCCCAACCAAGAAAAAGTAAAGACAGATCTTGGAGCCAGTAAAGATTATAAACATGTTTCTACACTGTTGGTGTGCTGTTTATAAAGTGAACTCACTTTAAGATTTTAATAAGCCCCCAAACTTCATTATTTTGCTTTCTCTCCAAGTACAAAGCACAGATGTTTTGGCATGTTGGAATCTGAAGTTTGGAATTTTTAGAGGAGGTAGTGTGTGGGCAGGGAACTAGCACCCTGGGCAAGTTGAGAGGTTCAGCAATTTTCATAAAATAAGGTAAAGGAATAGCCCTTGGCCTAGAAGTCTAATAAAAGTATATAGGGGCTACAATGAGAATGCACTGAACAAAATGAGGGCACTGGATTTTTTCATAATATCCACAGATATTAGACAATTTTGCCACTTTTGAAAATAGAAAATTTTGTGCAAAAAATTTTGAATTAAAACAATGGTAGTATCAAATATATGATTACTTATTAAAAAGCTAGGGAATTATAAAGGCAGAGGTTTTGCTTAAAATAAGAATTTCATGTTATTTATAAAATAAGAAATACTGTTAATAATAAGACTGAAAGGACCTTGAAAAGCTTCTCTTCCCTATTCTTCCCGTTTCTGTCATGACCATCTTTTCCTCATTTCCACCTAATATTAGAGAAAACTTGTTTTTCCCATGAGACTAAAGCTGTGCTGCCCCAAATGGTAGGCAGCAGCCATATGTGGCTATTTAAGTTAAATTTTTTTGAAAAAGTAATTCAGGTAAGGCGCAGTGGCTCATGCCTGTAATCCTAGCACTTTCCAAGGCCAAAGCAGGTCTCCTGCTTTAGTCTCCGAATAGCTTGGACTACAGGCATGCACCATTGCATCTGGCTTAAAATTTTCCAATTTTTTAAATATGAAATTTTATGCAAAAAATTAGTGTCTAATATTTGTGGAGTAAAACTGCATAACTTTCTCACAATCTTTAAGCACACCCTAATTTAATTTTTAGTTGGTAAAATTAGGTAGCCTATTAAGATAAGCCAAATAGAGAATGGGACATAAACTTTAAAAACTTCTGGAAAATTCACATTGTAAACTTCATGGGCACAAAAACTCTGGTCATTCTATGAATCCTCACTGCTTAATAATGCGTCGATACATAGTTAGTTGATGTCTGAAATTTTTAACAGTCATTTTTTTTGGGAATCCGGACTCCTCTGGTGTGTATGCTGGGGAATAGAATGAGGTGAGAGGTGAGACTCTCTGTTTCATAGACTTCTGCAGTTTCTTAAACTGTGTACATGTATAAAATGTATACTATGTATGTCATATATATATATATATATATATAATCTTTTGAAACAGGATCTAGCTCTGTCACCCAGGCTAGAGTGCAGTGGTATGATAATAGCTCACTGCAGCCTCAAATTCCTGGGCTCAAGCAATCCTCCTGCCTTGATCTACCAAAGTGCTGGGATTACAGGTGTGAGCAACGGTGCCTGGCTGATATACATAACAATTTTAAATAGTTAAAAGCCTTAATGTTGAGAGATGTTTAGGATGTCCTATATGACTATTTTTGAAAGATGAACTTGCTCACCCTCCTCCACACATATGCATCAGAAATTTTTTAGCACCACCCTACCACTTCATCATTCATCAGTCTACTCATTTGTCCATCCACACCTTACACACTCTACATATGTAGGATACACAAGCAAATAAATGATATCTCTCTATTGCCCATAGTAAATGCAAGCACAGCGAGAGAAAATTTGCCTCTCTCATCAGATTCTCAACCACCCAAATGATGGTACATAAAGACATGTTAAGACTACTAATTATATCAAATACTTGACTAGGAAACTGGTTGTTAGATAATCCTCTGACTTTAGACAAATCACATAACCTTTGTTAATAAAAAAAAAAAAAGCCAGGTGTGGTAGTGCACACCTGTAGTCCCTACTTGGTAGGCTGAGGTGGGAGGACCACTCAAGATCAACATGGGCAACATAATATAACATAGCCAGACCCCATCTCAAAATAAAAAAAAATATATATATATATATAAAAAATAAAGCAGCAACTGAACTAGACTAGATTACTTGTAAATTACTAATATTTTTATGCTTCAGTAATTTACAAGTTTGCTATGCAGTAGGCAAAAAATGTTTATATAAACAATTTTAATAAGTTAGAAAACCTTTCTTGAAGTGTGACTTATGTGTTGATAATGTATTTTATGTTTAAAACTATTATATGACATTATCAATTACCCAGGATTGTTCCACTCCCACTGAATGGTTGATTTTTCCTTGAGTATTAAGAATTTTTAAAATATTATTTTCTGTATTTTCAGTGTCTTGTGATAAAATTACCAAGATCAACTTCATTCTTTTGCTGCTGGGCAAATTATAGTTAAATTGACCCTGTTCTTATTTATTCTTATGTCTCCAGATGGCTTTCCAGCTTTAAAATTTAAGCATCATTATAGGGTTTTGTGCATACTTCTGTCATGTATAATCTACTAAATCACTCATTATTACCTTATTTTAAACTCTATCACACATCCCAGTAAAGTTATATTCCAAATTCAACACTTGTATACTTTATCTTCTTCTCAGTTGAATAAATATCCCAAAATTATATTTATAATCAATGTTGCACTGAACTTGGCTAATGATAAATAAATATTGTCCTTTTAAAAATCACTGAAAATATGAACCTTACTTGTCCAAGTCCTCATAACTGATAGAAATATTTTTAATAGACAAATAGATGCAATAAACAAGTTTTAAAAATCACACAGAATATAGAGACTATCTTTATACTAAATTAAAACTTTATTGAATAAAGAACACTCTCCAGAACACATGATCTGATGGACTAAGTCTACATTACATGCAATGAAGCTGAACATGACAGTAGTTTAACATGGAATGTCAAACAAATTAGTATTTTTCACGGTACAAAACTGTTTATGTAACTGATGTGCAAGAACAGTATAATACTCAGCATTTTCACCAATCATCTGTGATGAGTTTTAAAAAGGCATTTGAAGAAACTGGTAGGTGTCTTCAGGATATAGTTCAAATAAATTAGTTACATGTGTACTACTGAATCCTCTTTCAACCTCTCTTGCATTCCAAATAAAATCTTAGTGCAAACATCAATGTTGCTGATCACTCCAAAGACTGTCAAACTCATAATAGAATACAAGTTGTGAATTACTGTTAAGAAGGACAAACCCAAGAATACCAGTTACTGCAAAATTCATTTAGGCACACTTAATAGTCCACTCTAAGCATTTCTTCTAAGTCTGTCACATTAATGACTAAAGCCTGTTTACAGTACTAAAATTCTATCATTCAAGCATCAATGATTACATTTCAGAAAAAGGAAATCATTCATTTCAGTAATAGCATTACTGCTATATTCTAAAAAAAAAGAGAGAGAGAGAGAGAAGAAAAAAAATCATAATTAACAAAACCAGTATCCATAATAGGATACATGGGGCAAAACATTTTAGGCAAAAAAAAAAAAAAAAAAAAAAAGTGTGCTTTACTTGCACAGCAGGAATCATATAATGTAAACACCATATTGGCCCACACCACAAAATCCATGAGAAAGGTTCAAATTTGAACACTGAGTGTGAATTATTTTCAAATCTGTGTTTGTGAGTTTATGCTGCATCTGCTTGTACCAATACATGACAAAGAAAACACACTCTTCCACACACATACACATAAAAGTGATTGTTAAATATCGAGCATGGCTTGCTTCCCTGACTCTAACTCAAAAACAAATGTTAAGTGATGTCCCAATTGTTTTAAAAATGTTTACAGAAACCATTAAATGAATGTGAATAGTAGCTACGGAATGATGAAAAAGTGATAGTAATGATATGGTAAAAGTGGATGTAAAAAGAATGTAAATATAATGCTGAGATTTGCAAATGCATGGAAAATCTTTTTCTGTGGGCCTTGTCTGAATTTTAAACTGATACCAATAAAAAAAATATAGTAGCACAAGTCCATTGACACCTGGAGGGTCAGGCCTAGATAGCTTACCTTCAAAGTGCAAATTTTAACAATGGAATGTTTTAGCGGGGACTTCAGGACAATCCTCCGTCTTTTTCTTGTTGAATAAAAGTAAGATGTTCAGGAAGTATTTATTCCTGGCCAAAGTTATTTCAGTTTCTTGGTTACAAAACAAAAAATATTTAGCCACAATTATCACCCACTCTTTCACATACACAGAATCATTCTTAAGGGTGTCAGGGGGAGAAAAAACCCTTATTTGTGTATCACCTAATGGAACTCTTATTTAGAATTTAAGTTCATTTGAATCCACTACATTAAATACCAACATGTACCTTTCTTATCCCCTCCCTCTCCACCCACCTATCCCAGACACCCCCCAATGAACCTAGGTATTCTAATGTCTTTGTTTTCTAAGCCTCATGACTAAGGCTGTTGAGTACCACCTCCACTGGAACAAAATTAACACCTAAGGTGCACTTTCTACAGCACCTTTTTTCTTCTCCATGATTGAGTGGAATCTTGATTCTTTCAAGCCTGTATCTAGATCTCCAGGTCATCAGGCCGAGGTCTGCTGCTGGCGCGACTGCTGGCTCTGCTTGAAGGTCGCTGGTCCACGATGGCTAGTGGCTGTAGTTCGTGTCCAGCAGCAAGTTTTTTAGAATTCTGATTATCATCGGGGAAATCAAAAGGTTGTGCATGGGAGTTTGAGATGGTGCTTCCTGCCTGCCCCATTCTATTTTGTTCTGCACTGTAATTAGCCCAGTTTTGCTCACTTGCTTGCTTGTTGTAATTGCGGCAAGAAGAATTGTTTCTGTCGCCAGTAACCAGCTTGTACCCAGGAGGAGACATGGGAGAGAGGGGAGCGGTTGGTGAAGAGCAGCCATTGAAATATGCATATTTTGGAGATCCACAGTCTTTGGAGGGGCTTAGTGGGCCAGTGGTAGCATGGTAAGGATCGCCCTTTCCCTTCACACGATCCTTAACGCCCTTGAAGAAGACATAGAAGAGTTCAATGATGTTCAAGGCAAGAGACACCAAGGACACCACCAGCATAAAGATGATGAAGATGGTTTTCTCCGTGGGGCGAGAGAGGAAGCAGTCCACCTGATGTGGGCAGGGATCTCTTTTGCAAGTGTAAACGGCACTTAAGCTGAATCCATAGATGTACCACTGGATCAGCAAGAAGGCCACTTCGAAGACAGACTTGAAGAGGATACTGATGATGTAGGTTCGCAGCAAGCCCCCACGCATCTTCACTTTACCATGCTCTTCAATGCCATACTTAAACTTCTTTATTTCAATCTGCTTCAAGTGCATCTCCACATTGACACCATCGGTTTGGGCAACTTTGAGTTCCTCTTCTTTCTTGTTCAGTTTCTCTTCCTTTCGCATCACATAGAACACGTGAGCCAGGTACAAGAGTGTGGGTACAGACACAAATATGATCTGCAGGACCCAGAAACGCACATGAGAGATTGGGAAAGACTTGTCATAGCAGACGTTTTCACAACCAGGTTGCTGAGTGTTACAACGAAAGGCAGACTGCTCATCACCCCAAGCCGATTCAACCGCTGTCCCCAGCAGCAGGATTCGGAAAATGAAAAGGACTGACAGCCACACCTTCCCTCCAGCAGTGGAGTAGGCTTGAACCTTGTCAAGGAGTTTGCCTAAGGCACTCCAGTCACCCATGTTGCCAGGGCACCACCTGAAAAGAAATAATAGGACAACTAAATGATCACAGATTACAAATTATTAGTTTAACATATATTCTCTTTCAGCTGATAGTCAAAGTATTGCAAAAGATCTCATATCTTGCCAGTATTTTTCAAAAAAAAAAACCACCAAGTACAAAATTCTTCCTGTTCCAATTCCCCCCACAGAGGTCTAACACTTCACTTTTTATTTTTAATATAAAGTCTTAGAAGAAACAGAACATGTGTGATAGAGAGTGAATTGCAATCTGAAGCTGTGAAGACGTATTACTTGCTCAACCACTACCTTGCCATGTGACTTGAGAAGCTGTCAATGCTATGTCTCTGCTTATTTTATTTGTGTGATGAATGAGAACAGTTCTTGCTTGGTAGGCCTATGTCTGGATACATGCCTAAGCAAAATGCTGCACAGGTATCTAAGAATTGAAGTAAGAACACCCATGAACACACAATACACACACAAGCTCAATTCCCAAACTTCCATGCTATTGTATAGCATTTATTTCTAATTTTTATCTGAAATGTTTCTCAATGGTATATCAAATGTAATTTGTGCATACTTTATATTATAGTCATTTATACTTTTCGGTTTCTTCTTCTTCTTTTTTTTAAGAGATGGAGTTTTGCTAAATGGCCCAGTCTGGACTGGAACTCCTAGGCTCAAGCTTTCTTCCTGTAAGTCTTGGCCTCTCAAGTAGCTAGGACTATAGGCCTGTGCCACTGTGCCCAGCTCTTTCTTCTTAAGGAATGACTTATGTGGCTCAGAAGTCTGTCTTCTGTCCAGAGAAAAAATAGGTTGTACTGAAATACACTGTTTTGACACAATGTGTCATTACATACAGGAACTACTTCAAAAACAAACTCTTAATACACATCATATTTCAAGTAAAAAGTTCAATTTGTCTCAGTACTACTTATAACCTTAGAAATAAAAAAGGATTCCTTCAGGATGTTTTCTTCAGCAAAAAAAGATGGTTTTCCTCTTTGGTTGTTGTATACCTTAAAGTTCCCTTACTGGGCTTTACATTCAGCCTATATATTCGTTTTAACTTCTTATCAGTATCTAGGTATTTTAAGCATAGGACTTCCCCAATAATGGGGATGTGAAAAAGACTTAAGTCTGTAGAACTGACAAATATTCCAAAAATCATCTAGTTCAATTTATGCTTCTAATTGCCAATCATCCATTTAACTGATAAAAATTGAGGTTCTCAGGATATAGGAAATATTCAGCTTTAGATAGAGCCAGAAGAAGACTCACAATCCCCAGGCCAAACCTTTCCAATGTATCATACTGGTTTTAAAAGTATAGGTAGTAAAGCTGCGTTAAAGCTAGAAATGTTTCCATGCTTTGATATATACAATCTTAGCAAGGGCTGAAAGGTGGGAAGAAGTGAATACCATGACATGTGGGAGGCATAGACAATACAGGCTAATTTTCAGCAGAGAGTAGTAATTGGAGGGTTTAGAAAAGGATGAGGTAATCAAAGATTATTTAATAATTAAAAACAAGCAAAGTAAAGACTTTCCAGAAGCTTAAGTAATGAATTCTAAATAGTGTAGCTAAAAGTAGGATTATGTAGACTTCTTAGAAGTATGTTCACTATCTGAATATAAAGGAGTTTCTCATCTGGTGTTGAACTGTGAGCCGTATTCTCCTCGTAGGAAGTAACTGAAATCCAGGGGAGTCTTCTTCCCCATCATGCAGTGTTACATTTCTGTCTAAGGACTGCATCTGCTGGCTACAGAAGACATTAAAAAATGAAATGGAACCTGACCTGGGATTTCCTGGGTGGAACAAAGAGATAGCTAAGCCATAAAGCTAAACTGTGAACCAGCTATCTAAATTAGCTTTTGATGAGTATATTTGACGACAGCCTAGAGACTGATGCCAAAGAATGCTGGAATAAGAGTGGGAGGTGGGTGAGCAGGCTGCAGAAATAATGCTGTCCCAGTGGTCATAAAAACGGAGCTTCCCTTCTACTTTTAGGAAGGGTCATTTTAGATTCTGAAGTGACAAATTAGAAAGTGAAATTGATGTATGAAATGAGCAGTCAAAAAAAGAACAAAGGCTTACAGGGTTGTCAAAGAGAGTTAAATAGCCAAGGGAAGGTTTGAAGTGAGGGAGTAATTTAGTCTTGATGGACAATTTGATGGTGAGAGAATGCAAAAGAAAAAAACCCTAAAATTTAACGGAAAATGCTAGACTAGGAATAAAGAAGTATAGTCCATGAGGGTCAAACAAACATAACAGAATTTTTGGAGCTATATCAACAGACAGTTTCTATGTGATGATGTGTAAATTGGCCCTAATTCTGTTTGTAAAAAAATATAATATTTTGCCAGTGTCATCTGCTTTTGCTCAGATATTCCAATTGCTGGGGGGAAAAATAACAAAAACAATCGAGCATAAAATGATAAACTGTTTGCATACATCTCATCACATTCATGCAGTGATAGAGCTGAAGACAAACCTAACATGTTTAGAAATAAGACTGGGCACAAGAGAAGTTATAATTTTAGTGTTTCATTATTATTCAAAATAAAATATGATTATTTAGATGCTTATGGCAATTCGTTACTAAGTTTTTTACATTCATGTTAAATAACATTTGACTTTCATATAATTCTGAAATTCCACAAAAATACTCCATGGTATGTGAACTGGGTCACCAGGCAGTTTTCTAGGTAGTAGTTCTTTTTTAATATACCAGCAATTTAATTGCAAAGTTGTCTTTCCTTTTAATCACCCATGCAGTCATTTGCATTAATGAGTTATACTCTTTCATCTGAATACAATATGAATTATCCAATTGGACACTTAGGATCCTGTAACATGTAGATACTTGTCATTACCACTATCACAGAGACCATGAAATAATGTTTAACGTGACATCCTGTGACTCCCAAGAAAAGGTAACAAAAATAGTTACCTTATTTTGGTAGTAGCTCACTTTGCCATGAATCAAAAGTTCTGTCAATTGGTTGTTCCTCTCCTCTCTCCCAAACCTGGCTTAATATTTTTAGTTTTCCAACTGTTACCTAAAATTTTAATGTCATTTTATAAAGAAAGGGCAATAATTACAAGGAAATGTCCTTTTATAAGGAAAGGACATAAGTATATGCCCTTACAGAATCTTTGACCTTGATCTACAGATTATATACCACATTTGTATTTACCAATAAGAGACAGATATGTTTCTTATTCGATACATGAGGACACCCAGGCAGCTGAACGTATCATGTACATTCTTGCCTCCACCTCTAGGTTCCCAAGTTGGTGCTTCATGTATAGGCCTTGGTTGATAAGGAGTTGTGCAAAGTTCTTGTTAAGAAAAAAATCCGGAGAGCAGCTGGTCTACTTTCTTGTGTCTTCTTTGTGCCATGTTAGATCACATTTTCCATTGCTCTACATGGCCCCCTAGACTAGATGGCCAAAGGTACAAGCACTAAGTGTGGCCTGCCTGAGGTCCCTCTGGTCCCTTTACAGTGGTTTCCTGAACTGTATCACAATCACTTGACAGCATTTGTTAAAAACATACACTCCTGGCCCTCACCAGTCTGCACGAATCTGAACTTCTGGGGGATGAAGCCTGGGAAATCAGGGTTTTTTTGTTGTTGTTGTTGTTATCTTTTTTAAACAAATATCCCAGGGGATTCTAAAGTAATGTTTCAGGCCTACAGGAAAACAATGGCTTCTTGACATTTCTAGTGTTTTCTTGTTCAAAATGTTTACGAGTGGGGATAATGTAAGGAGTCTACAAAGTCCAAGGGGCCAAGCATGAGGAGGAAGGGCTTTCTGGGCACCTGGGACTGAGGTCATCCTCGGCTCCACAGCCCCTTTTCGCTTCCTGAACCTCCATCTGCCCCTCCCTGAGAGCACAAGGACTAAACTCTTTAATCCAAATGAAATCCCTTAAAAATAAAGCTTTAATTTTAAATTACAGTTGACTGTCCCTCTTGAGCTTAAAAACAAATCATTGTGCCGAAGCTACAGTCAAGCCTCTCCATGTCATTAATGATCTAATAATTATTAGAATTAGGAAATATTTTACTTTCAATTTTAAAGATTTTCCCAAGAAGAGACAACTATAATGAGTTGAGAGTAGAGACTTAAACAAATAAAGGTAACTAGGACGGACCATTGATAACTAGAGTGAGATTTACTATCTATCATCTTTTTTTGATAATTGAAAGTAAACACTTAGGGAAGATGAAGGTCATTAATATCTGAAAGAATAAAATCAGAGCCTAAAAATTCTTAAGGAAATATCTATGAAATATCCTGATAAAATCATTTAATGGGTTCCTTGGGGGAGAAGGGAAATGCTATGCATGTTTCTAATGTACTGAAACCAAACATCTTTATGCCCCAAAACTCAAATGCAAACCCTTCTAATGTTTAACTTTTTTTTTTTTTTTTTTTTTGGCAGGGTCTCACTCTGTTGGCCCGGCTAGAGTGCCTGGCTAATTAATTTCTTTCTATTTTTAGTAGAGATGGGGGTCTTACTCTTACTCAGGCGGGTTTCGAACTCCTGACCTTGAACGATCCACCCGCCTCGGCCTCCCAGAGTGCTAGGATTACAGGTGTGAGCCGCCCGTACCCGGTCTTCTTTAACTTTTATTAAGAACCCCTGTCCCTTGCAGTAAACGTTGTGCGGTGAGATCAGTTGTGACTATTCCTGTACACTTACAACAGCCACATGTTCTTTGTGGTAATATTCCTATGCACACATAATCACCATAACCCATATTCAGTCCATCAGCAAGTACTAAAGACTATCTTCAAAATATAACCAGACTATGACTGATCCTTACCACCATCCTTGCTCTTAGCCTGATCTCAGCTATCATCATCTCTCTTCAGGTTTCATGTCACAGCCTGGTTACCCTGCTTGCCAACCTTTCTCAGAGTAAACAGTCAATCTTGAAAAACAATCCAACAAACACACTGACCTGCTTTGATCAGCTGTTCCATCCACGTGGCTCACTTCCTCACTTGTTTCAGGTCTCACCTCACCAGCCAACTTTTCTGACCACCAAGTATGAAAAAGCAACATCCTTTCCCTAGTTCTGTCATTTCCTATTCCCCTTGCTCTGCTTTTTAAAATTACCCTTAGCTCTACTTGATATAGTAAATATTTACGCGTCTATTGTCGTATTCCTCCATGGAAAGGACTGTGTTCCTCCACTAGAATGTGAGCTCCTTGAGGGAGTTTGCTTTGCTCAGTGCTATATCCCCAGTGCTTGAAAGAGTAAGAAAAAGTAAGAGATGCTGCATAAATATCTGTTGAGTGAATTAGTGGGGCCTGGTCCAAAAATATATTGTGCAAAAATGCAGGGGCACCAGGTTTCACCAACTTTTTTGACTATCTCCTTGAGTCTCTTAATGGTGGTTAGAGTTGTCAAACTTCTAAAGTTTCAAATTAATTAAAAAGGGGAGTCACAGTAAAAAAGTATTGTCATCATCTCATACAGATACATTTTCAAGTGACAGAGAACTGTTTGTTGAAACAGTACTTTTCAAATGATTCCTGAGCAGACAGTAGGGCTGAGTGAAGAAAAAAGGCCAAGAGCTTGAATTTATTAGGTAAGATCCTAATGATGGTTAGGATTCTTACAGAATTGCATTGAGTATCACAGATGTATATTCAGTTTCACTGTTAGGTGTTGCAGATTAAGATTGAAAAAAAAATATATGCTCTTGTCCCTCCACCTTTATGGTATTCTAACACCTATTGTACGCCACAATTTTACTGTAGCCAGGGACACTATTGCAAGAAGAAATATACTGTTTATTAAAATTTATTTAGCCTGTTATTAAAATTGTGTGTATTTCAAGAATGACAAGTATGGGGAAAGGTAGGGAATCTGAAGGGGAAGAGCAGCAGTTGATGTTAAACCCAGTTAATATAAAATCTCTATATAGTCTGATAAGTAAGTCTACATAGTCTATGCAGGCAGTTAAGCGATTTGAATCTGTTATCAGTGGAAAACCTTCCCAGTTCATGAGGTAATACCCAATAATTGTTTCCTTATTTAGACCTAGATAGTTAGCCTAACTCTATAATGTATCAAACCTAGTCTATGTAAACATGTATTTAAAATTCTGCCTCATGGTTCTCTGATTATCTTTAGTTTCCTTTGTAAAGAATTGCACATTTCTGCAGGTATTTGATGTTATGACAATCGAACTGCATTTTTTTTGTGTGTGTGGTGGCGGTAGAGCCTTTTTCCCCCTGGCTTTTGCCTTCCTTATCACATAGTTAACCTACATCGGCCTCCACAGACTGAGATGAGACTGGGATGGGGGGGTAAAGCCATCAAAAGAGGATGATACCTATGCAAAAGAGACAATCCTTTTTCTAGTTCAACAGCTATCACTTAACTACCCTACTAACAGAAGTTTCTCAAGGTCAATTTAAGGGTGCCAGAGAAAAAAATCTAAGTCAGAAGGTGCAAGCTCAAAGCTATGTTCTTTAACTGTTATCTAAGTAAGTTAAAAAACATATTTCTATCAGTTCTTGGTGTTTCTCCTGCCTCCACCCTCACTTCCACCTTCAAATTGACTTTTTATTGAATAGCCTTTTTATTTTGTAATCACATAAACATACCCCTACAGACTTCAAGTGTATTGATTCAGAGCAGTCTATTTTCTTCAATGAGCAATGAATAACTCGTGCACATGAAGCTCTCAGTAGGTGCTTGATAAAGTTAAGTTACTACTCTTTAAAAGATCTTTAGATATAGCTCATTTATTTTCTTAGTTTTCGTATCTTTTCAGCAAGATAGCATCTAAGAAATTATCAACAAACATTTTCTAAAAATTATTTAAAAAGCTGGGAAAATTGGGATATAAAATTTATTGCATTTTATGAAGCCAATGATACATTAAAAAAGGATTAACCATGGTTGAATTTTGGCAAGACAGTCTGTGCAGACATAGCTAAATGGTGAAGCTAAACACGCAAAGTGGAGAATTTAGGCAGTTATTCCAAATATATATATATATATATATATATAACTCCCATGGATGAGAAGCTCTGGGGATTTTTAAAAACTTGAATTATCCATATTGAATATTGACATTAATGATAAATACCAGATAACTTTTTCTCTCCAAAGCTGAACTGGTGTGTGTGGATAAATTCTAACACATCTATTCAAACATTTGAGAATCTTGAAGGGGAAGTCAGAACAACAGGAAAGGTGGGGTGGAAGGTATTAATCACTGGAGACTGCCTTATCATTCCTTTCCCTCTAGGTATCATATATAAAGGCTCAAACCAAGATACACCTCTGGATATTATAAAAGAAACAAAGGAATGTACCCCATGGACTTTTCCATCCTTCTCTATGTGGAATTAAAAATATCTTAGTAACAAAGTAACTCTCAATAACTGATAGCACACCCTTTCAGCTGCCTCCCTCGGAGTATCTTGAGAACTGTGTTTCCCATGAAGGGTCAGGATAGTAGGAATCACAACCGTAAAGGGGCGAGGAACTGAGTGGATGGGGCAGCTGTGGCAAGAAACTTCAAAAGGTATTAACAAATGTGGAACATGTTTAAATAGTGAAGAAAGTAGTAGCAAGGCGCTACCACTGCATTTTTTTAGGCAAAGGGCAGGTGACCACTATAGCCTGACTTTGAGAAGTACAAAGCATCCACACATTGGGAGAACATGTTAATTCAGCACGTTGCCAGGGCAAAATGTAGTTCCTCCGATCGGTATAATTTTCAATCAATTTGGCCCACTCAGAAGTAACTGCTCTTCCCCCAAAGGTGTGTTCTATCTAACTGGCTTATTCTGGTCTCCGGAGTGGGTTGGTTTAAAGTGTGAGATCTTCTCTGCATTATGCCAGGCTTTTATTTTCAGCAATCCTCGTACAAAAGGAAAAATAATTAGTCTTCCTCTGGCCGGCACTTTTGACTGGGTTTAAGTGTGCCCGATTCTCAGAGGGTGAGATTCAGCATCTTTCTTGTCATTACTAACTTGGTTCAGGAAGCAAAAGAAATTAAACCACCTCCAAATAAAGCCATGCTTGTTTTCACATTAGCTCCCCCCTCCCCACTTTGCACCTAGAGAGAAACAGAAGCGCGCCTTCGGGTGGCGATGGATGTGGTGCGGGTTAAGGAGGGTTTAATCGATAAGCTTCACCGGAGGTGCGCAGAAAACACGTGACGGCGACCTAAAGGGCAGTGGGGGCGACGTGCTGCTCGGAACTCAAGGTTGGAGTTCCCAAATCCTGTCCTGATTTGCCTGAGGCCACGTCATTAGCTCTGGCCTCTTTTCCTTAAGGGTCTTTTATTTTCCCCTCCCCTGCCCCGCCTCATTCTCGGGAAGTTTCAAGAACTTCCCGGAGAGTTGCAAGTGCAATTTAAGCGCGATCATTCTCAAGGGACTCGGGTTTCCTTACCTACGCTTATATAGTAGAATTCAACAAGGTTTAAAAAAAAAAAAAAGGACACTGTGGACGGGAGTGAGAAGAATGGGAAATTAGATTGACAACTTTCATTAAATCAATTATCTGCTCTTCTACCATTTGGCACAAAGCCCATCTCTCCTCCCTTCCTCCCACTGCCCCCTCCCCCCCAACTCGGGTTCCTTTTCAGTGGCAGAACTCAGACCTGCACTCGCTTTGACTTTTAAGGATTTGAGGGAAATGTCTCAAAAACCCGTTGGTTGGGGCAGCGAAGGAGCCCGGGGAGCCGGCCGATGCTAAGATGGCAGGAGGCGCCCCGCGCGGGCTCGGGAAAGCTTTCATTTTTATTCGCTTTTCAGCGTTCCCTGTGCAAATGCTTCAATTGCAGGGTCACTTTAAGAATCTAAACTAATTAATCTGTGGATTTAAACAGAACAGAAAATCCTTACCGGGCACAAAAATGCATGGTTGCATTTCTGGTTACGAGAATGTGGGTTACCAAGAAAAGCATTTTAAAACTTGAACCCTTGAAAAACAACACATCAGTGTAATCTTTACCTACTGGGTAGCACCCTGGCACCTCCAACTCAGAAAACATTGTCCCAGAACTCTAAAGTCTGTTGCAGGTTCGGTTCGGGCAGACTGAAGGGGGTCGGGGGGTGGGGGATGGGTCTTAGCTCCCTCTAAAGCGCTGTTTGAGAAATTTCTTTTTCCTATTCTTTCCAGGAGCTACCGTTTTAGGAGAGTTTTGGAAACGCACCCTGGCATATACAGTCTTTTCTGTTATCCTCTCATGCTCTTTAAGTAACCACCCCTCATTCAAGAGATTTCATCTCCAGAATTGCCAACGTGGTCAAGTAAAAGCTAGCTCTCCTGAGGGTCTCAAATCTTTCCATAGTGGTTGCTAACACAAAGTAACTATTTACTGTTGATTTTTCAACCATAATATTAACACTCTGAATTTTATACTTTTTTGTTTAACGGGAAAAATTCTAGGAAGAAACCACGTGGAAGTCAAGTAACCACGATGTTTTAACAAAGCTCTTAGTTACAAAAGAAGTTTGCTTTGCAAGGCTATTGAACATCAATCAAGATTTCCATATGAAAAAAGTACTTTATTCTGTGTAGTATAGAATACTATGGGAAGCAGGCTGAGCAAATGTGCACTTTGATTTTCGTGCTGTAGGTAGTCAAATCCCCAACTCAGGCCCCTAACCGCTCCCCCCCACTGAACAGATTAGAGCACCCACTGATTATGAAAAAATAAAATTATATTCTAAAATGAAGAACAAACTATCCAGCGAACTAGTTCTTTATTCTTATTGGAAAAGTTTGAATCTTTTACCTGTTGCATCATTAATAGAAACTTTTCTAACAGTCAAAAGATAAATTCCGTACAATCAATTTTAAAACTACAGAAACACTTGCAAATTCATCATTCCATTAACAGTATCATGAACCAAAGCTAAATTTAACACATTTAAAAACTTTAGAAAAGTTTTACTTGTACAAAAAGAAACTAATAGGTAAAGTTTTTTTAAAAAAAACTTACTCTTTTTCTTAAAAGAAGTGAAGTCACGCCAAGTGATTGAACTCCTTGGAGGATGAAGTAAAATGAAAAGGCAAGTTCAGGCACTCAGACCTGTCTATTTAAAGTTTAAAACTCAGCTGCTGTTTGGTACTTTCCTCACGCCTTCCCCCTAATGAAAGAAAAGTGCTGATACCTCGTAAAAGCTTTTTTGTAACTTGGAGCACAGAGCTTTTAAAAGTTTCAAGCCACTGACTCAACTAGGAGGAGGGGCTAGAAGGAAGGGGAGGGCAAAAGGAAAGGCGGGGAGGAGGTGGAGAGGAGCCTGGTGAATGTGGAGGGTAGGGAGAGAAAAGGCAGAAAGGAGTAGCTAGGTCAAGATAAAGTTGTAGTTTATATTTGCTGATAAGAAAAAAATAAAATAGCATTAGAGGCATGAATGCCTGTACTTGGAGTTACTCCTTACAGATAAAAATTACTGGCTTTAGTGCTTGTTTCACAAAAAGATCAGGGATAATGAAAACTTGTATATTTTATACTATTATAACATTGTCTAAAAAAAAAATTACAGTAAATAAAAATGGTGGAGAATAGTATAACCAGTGCAAGCTCGTTTCATATTGACCAAGGTGTGTGAACTGAGAGGTGGGTGTGAGTGCCCTATTTGATGATCTAATTTCCTTACTCTTAATTTAAATAGGGACAATTAACAAGGAAATGGTGGGGATGGGAGAGAGACATTTCAAAAATGGGACATATATGGTGGTATGTCCATCCTCAGTCCATCTTCCAACCCTCAGATGGCTTTGAAGTTTTACTTTTTCAGTTTAGCAAAACATATACAACATGTTTTGTTTGACTGTGAAATCTTGATATCTGACTTCTACTCAATCTCCAGGAAATTGAAACTTTATGATATCTCAGCCTATTCAGGCCAACACACTAAAACCTAAATATGTAGTGAAATGTTGGGATTTTTCTAAATCAAATACAGACTATAGTCGTCTATAGTTGGCATTAAGTGGGTCCCCAAACTATTTAACCTTCATTAAGATCGTCTCCCCTATAAAGCCCACTGGAGAGTTTTCTGCCCAATGACTGTAAAGCTGGGCATATAATCTTTATGTGCTTCTCCACCACTTCCAGGACTCTTTCTCTTCAATACTCTGTATTAGGGTTTATAGTGGCCTGAGTCATGTGGCCTCATTCTTAGAGCAGACAGCTCCTTTGAGGGCTTCCCAGATGCCATAGCACAGGGCTGTGGTAGGGCAATTCCTCATAAACAGGCTTCAGTGATGCTCTGAGGTTGGGCAGGGAAACATGTTGGCCATTATTCTCTGGAAGCAAAGCAAATTCATCCAGCCTTAATATTCATTCCTAACCTTTTTCTCACTAATACAAATACCAGAAAAAAGAAGGATGGCAACTATTTCCTGGTAGACAGCTTTCCCTAAATATACTTTCACTGAAATGACTAATAAAACATCTTTTGAAATGCTACAGTTTTAAGACATGATTTTGCCTTTTCATTTGTTTAGCTATCCTATTTCCAATGGCACAGTTTTTAAGTCGAGGAAGGGGAAAAACAATATTGTGGAAGAAGAAATTATAATTTGACTTTCAAGTTTTCGGAAATAGCAACCTATAAGTATTATTTTGGTATTATATTTATATTGTCCTTTCATTCAAATGAATCTATTTGTCTTAGCTAAAAATTATTTCATTCCATTTAGAACACATTCATGAAAATATGATTTATTCTTTTTATCATAGAAAATATTTTCCTCTTTATAAAAGAGAAGTCTATGCTTCATTTAATTTACACAATGATTACTTTTGTAAAATATTTGTCAAGTACAATTAGTACTGATAATATCCATTTTATTAAAAATATTATAATAGTAATTTAGAATTAGCTGCCTGAAAGTTGTGACTGTTTTAAAATAGATATTTTAAAGCAAAAAATTGTGTTTATTTCTATTTATGTTTTATTGGGTCTATAGATGGATACTGATATCTAATTGTTATGCTACCTTTTCCTTTCAACCTATTACCTATATAGCCAATTGGAAATAGAACTAAAGAACTTCTTTCTACTAAATTAAATTATTCAGGGATATCACTGGAACCATTTTCTGCAACACAGAGATTAGTCGTAGCATGAACCACTAATTAAATAATTACTTCTAATATATGAATGCACTATGTCTTATATTTCTAAAATTATTATTTAGTGATCATTGATAAAAGATCTCAAAATGCTTTTATCAAAAGAACATTGATAAGACAGTCTACGGAATCTGCTGCTCCTTTGTGATAATGGCACTAAAATGTGATCCCATAGGTAATAATGCCCAAGGGAGCTGGGTTATGTGAAGGGCTTACCTGTCGGAACACTGGCAACAAAGTGTTCTCTCACGGACACCTAGCAGAGTCTCTAAATGACTAGTAGTAGCAACTTCTATTTTACCTCATACTCTAGCAAAATTGGTGAGTTATATTCTGACCCATAATATAATTTTTTATTATATTATGAAGTATCTCACTTATCTGACCTTAGAAGCTTGTCTCCATTGGAATGTTTTGCAAAAATTTGTGGGACAGACTTTTTAAAATGTGTTTTTCTCATATTTTCAGAAATGTCAATGCCATTTCATTAATATAAACACTGACTTCCCAGCACTGTATCTTCTCTGATTGCCAGACCTTGTCTATGTAGAAGAAATGGATGCAGCCTGATTTGCCAGTCAGGTGACACTCTGCTCTTCAGTTTCTGTCTTCTGCCGGGCTTCTTTAGGCTCCTCCATGGGGAAGGCCTGTGAGTCTGTTTTATCCATGTCAATATGTGCTTTAAGAAGTGCACATTATTGGCACACTGGAAGGTAGATTTTTTTCAGAATTGTGAGAAGTATTTCTCAATATGAGAACCAACTGAGGTTTTGAATTTTTACCTTTGTTTCAAAATACCAATTTCTGAAATTTTAAGAGAGGGAGTAATTTTTAAGGACTTTGCTTATCTCACACAAACTCTGGTGGATGATATTTACCTCACTGAGTAGCATAAACATTCAAAAATAATTGGTGCCTATAGACTAGGGACTTGTAATGGGAGAGGAGTGAGCTATAAGAACCTGAAAAGTAAGGTACTAACAGTAGAAAAGGAAAGGAAGATAGAATTATCAGAACTTGATGGCAGATGAATGGGGAGGACAGGAGAGAGGAGGCTGTGGAAACTGATTTTGTAGTTTTGATTGGGAAAATATTACTAACACAAAAAAGGAAGTTAGGAGAGAGACTGATCTGCTGAAAGAGATATAATAATTTCAGTTTGGAAAATTGGGTATGGAGAACTGAAACATTTAGGTAAAGATAGCTGACTGACAATTTAAAACATGGGACATGGAGGTCAGTTTAAAATTGTTATATGATTTGTGATTAATCTCATGGAATTGATACTTGAAGCCACAGGTACAGATGAAATTACTAAGAGATGGGATAAAGGCAGTGTATAGAAAAGACAGAGCACACGGCCTTAGTGGATTTCCTCATTTAATTCAGACAAAGAAAAATAATGAAAAAAGAAACAAGGTAATGTCTGGGAAAGGGAAGGGTATTTAAAATAGCTACAAGTGGGCTTATTTATAAGGAAAATATAACTTGCGTGCACACTATTGTCTGAGGAAAGGACAATTATTCCTTTAAAACAAGAGTAAATGCAAACCATAAAGAAGACGAAGTTTTCAGAGTATGGGCCTTAGCAAACGAGGGTTTGAAGGTAATTTTCTCAAAGTAGGTGAGGTTATAGGCTGACTGAGATGAGAGTCAATGCAGAAGAATTGGAAAATTTGCAATACCTCTGGAGCAATACAAAGGCAGTTGTAGAAGAATAAAAAGACTATTTGAGACTAAGAGAGTCTAGGTTGATTTTGTAATGAAATAAGATGACATTATCTTATTGATTTCCTTTAATTACCACCAGAATAATCCTTTATATGTACCAAATTTCCATTTTAACTAATATTTATTCGGACAGCAAGAAAGCAGTATAAGTTAATTTGGAGCTCAACAGTTTGCCAGTTTAGAAACGCTCTACCCAAATTGGTAAAACTTTCCAGAAAATGTGTTCTTAATGTGACTTAGTCAACTATATTTTCTTCAGAGTAGTGAAGATTTCCCATCATATTATGGACTTGTGCTGGAATCCTTTTTCAACACATAAATTTCTGGGGTTTGACAATTTGCTTTGTAACTCTACGGTACTCAAACAAAATTTGTTTCCTATTTAGCATTCTGTCATCCTTGAAAAACATTCAAGGATCTAAACTTGATTCTACCTAGGTAAAATTTCAACTCATTTTTGTAGCCCACATTTATCTCTAAGTGAATCTTACTGTGAGGTTACATAAAAAAGCATTTGTGAATTTTTGTTTTGTTTTGCTTTATTTTGTTGAATGGGAAAGAAGTCTAGACAGTGTATAAGCATGTCTTTGGCTCCACCTTCTGTACGGAGTGAAAACGAACATTGTAAGAAGTACCTGGTAACTCATTTACTGTTTCATGTTTGTTTGTTTAATTTTACCTTTTTAATGAAGCTTGGTTAATTTTTTATGATAATTTGTTATTGTTTGCATGCATTCATTCAGTAAATATTATGTCTCAGGGGCTATACTAGAGCTAGTGAGGATTTTTTAGTTATGCAGTGAAGACAAAACAATATCAGGGTTAAATTTCATTCAGCTTTGGGCTTTGAGTTTTCTTTAAGAGAATTGTGAAAAAGCAAGCAAATAACAGTAGGAAAAAGAGAAATCTAGTTAGGTTTTTTCATAGAGGAACATATTCTTTTTCTCTATGATTCCACAGGGGGGTGCCATTTTAAAGAATCCTATCAGTAGTATACCCACTTAAAAAAATGACCAGAAGCAATTAGAGGTTCAGAACCTACAACTCTTGGTTTTACACAGATATTAGTTTTGTTTATATACAAACAACAAGGCATTTGTACCAATTGACAGTCTAATAAATATTGACAGTCTAAATAAATATTGACAGTCTAAAATTGACAGTCTAAATAAATATTGGCTGTTTGCATTAAGAATTTGAGCCTGTTAAGGCTCATCTAACAGATAAGAAAATACTTAAATTTTTATTTTAGGGTAGGTAAAATGAACATTTAATTATTTAAAGTTAATTCAGGCAAGTAGTTATCTCCTCAGCATGATCATTTGCCATCATTTTATGCTTGGCACTGTAACAGATACAGTGGAAACTTGGAAAATATAGAGAACATTTTATAAGTGGAGGTGATTCCTCATGTAACATTTTTACAAGCTTTATCAAGAATGTGGAAAAAAGTATAGTTAAAATAACAAATGCATGAACAAAATTATTTACATACATTTTGAATTGACGCCAAAGAATAAGGAAAGACTTAGCATTGCTTCAAAAGTTAGCTGAGATAAAAATTCCCAAATGAAATATTTACAATGCTTGGTTATAGCACCACTTACCAAAGTCATTAAAATGCCTTTCTGTTGTATGTCTAAGTCTGCTTTGGTGCACAGGAAAAGGTACCTATGGACAGCTTTATTCAGTACATGTCCTTTATGGACATCACCAAATTTAACAGTATTTTCATTTAGTATAGCTTGAAACAACACAATTATCTCTAACAAATTATATATCATAGTAACTATAAGTTCTGTGTGTATCACAAATATTTCATTTTTTTTCCCACATAGTGTAAGACTAACAAAATTTAAAAACCCTGTTAGACCTCACAGAGATGCTTTTATATGCTTATTATTGGTGACGAGAAATGAGTAATAATTAAGTGTCAGGTAGTTACTGATATAAAAGTGAGGTCCAAAACTGTTGTAGCAGGCTTGATATGTTTAGAAGGTTCTGGTATCTCTTTAATGTCTTGGATATTCACGTGGCCACCTACAACAAATTACTTGAGGCCATTGTCAATCTACTATGAAGGCAGAACATCATTACTATGAGGTACACAGTTTAAGGACTTCTGAAGTTTTTTTCAGTTCAAAACCATCTTCCCCATTGATCTCCTACAGAAGCTGGATTTTCTACCACTTGTTAGAGTTCCACCTTTGGATTAAGACATTGGAATTTTTAAGAAGATCCCAAAGGAAATTTAAGTATATTTTTGGAAAAGGTAATATAATAAAGTATTAACAAAATTTATTATTGTGACTTACTAAGAGAGCTTTAAAAAACTGGTAATATAAATTCTGATATGAATAACATAATTAAATTGAAGAGTCTTGAAATGATCTAAGCTAAAGTGGTTGTGCACAACTTACATTCTTTTTGGCATATATATGGCCACATAAAAAACTGAGGGGTATGAAGGCTACTCCCCCATGACATTATTTATCAACTTACAATAAAATAAGTCCAAGGTCAAATTCTGATCTGGATACTGTATTAGTCAGGGTTCTCCAGAAAAACAGAACCAGAATCAGTTGGATGTGTGTGTATGTGTGTGTGTGTGTGTGTGTGTGTGTGAGATGAGGATTTGGCTCGTATGATTATGGAAGCTGAGAAGTCCCACAACATGCCCACTGCATGCTAGAAATCCAGGAAAGCTGATGGTGTTATTCAGTCTCTCTGAATTTTTCAGAACCAGGGAAGCCAATGGTAGAAATCCCAGTCTGAGGCCCAGAAGAAATGAGATTAGATATCCTAGCTCAGGCAGGAAGAAGGGAAGAATTTCTCCAACTTCTGCCTGCCTTTTGTTTTATTTAGGCCCTCACCAGAACAGATGATATCCACCCACATAGGGTAGGGCAATCTACTGAGTCCTCCAATTCAAATGCTAATCTCATCTAGAAACTCCCTCTCAGTCACACCCAGAAATAATGTTTAATCTGCACACCTTGTGGCCAGTCAAGTTGACATATAAAATTAACCATCACAGATACTTATTTAACAAGCATTTATTAGCAAGCAGGAACTAACCGTTTCATCCAACTTGTTTTGTGAAATCCTGACTGTGTTCTTTTTAGGTGATAAGGCTATCACTGTGCATGAATAGTTCTTTTTTTTTCCAAAGAGTTTTTTTTTTTTTTTTTTGAGACAGAGTGTCACTCTGTTGCCCTGGCTAGAGTGCCATGGCGTCAGCCTAGCTCACAGCAACCTCAAAGTCCTGGGCTCAAGCAATCCATCTGCCTCAGCCTCCCAAGTAGCTGGGACTATAGGCACATACCACCATGCCAGGATAATTCTTTCTATATGCCTTTAGTTGGCCAATTAATTTCTTTCTATTTATAGTAGAGATGGGGTCTCACTCTTGCTCAGGCTTGTTTCGAACTCCTGACCTTGAGCGATCCGCCTTTCTTGGCCTCCCAGAGTGCTAGGATTACAGGCGTGAGCCACCGCACCCAGTCTTTTTAAAAAAATTGATATATCATAGTTGTCAGTTTCCATTAAGTTTCAGTAAAAAAAAAAAAAATTAGTTATGTATCATAGTTATATGTATTTTGGGGTCACATGTGATATTTTGATACATGTACATAATGTGCAATGATCAAATCAGGTTAATTGGGATATCCATAATCTCAAACATTCATCTTTTCTTTGTGCTGGAAACATTATAATTATTTTCTATTTTAATATATACAATAGATTATTGTTAACTATGATGTCCCTACTGTGGTATCAAATACTAGAACTTATTTCTTCTAGCTAATTTGTATTTTTGTACTCATTAACCAATTATCTGCATTCTCCAATCCTCCTGTTAGGTAGGGATCAACTCTGCAGGGTGATGTGTGTAGGCCAGGAGGATGGTTCTAGGGTTAGAGAAGTCAGGGGGGACCAGTCAGAGGAAAGAACTGCAGTAAAAATGTAGAACGCTTGATAATCATTTGGCAACATCCCACACCCCACACCTCCTATAAGCCCACCCCTGGACCAAGCCAATAAAATGAAACCACCTGGGAATCCTCAGTCTTTCTCCACCTGTGGAGACTGATCCATTCCTCTCTCTGGAACCTATCTTCACTTTGGGTAGCTTCCTTCTTTACTTTCACTTTGTATAGTTTTTTTTCTTTTCTGTAATAAACTATTTGTGTGGGATTGGTTTGTATTTGTGATCACTCAAGTCATTAGCTCAACTTGGTACCAGTACTCACTCTTGACACTGGGAACCGAGAACCAGGGAACATCAAGATATTTCTAATATTCCCTTCTTTTCCAAGCCTCTAGTAATCATAATTCTCCTTTCTATCTCCATAAAATCCACTTTTATAACTCCCACATATGAATGAGAACATATGATATTTGTCTTTCACTGCCTGGCTTATTTCACCTAACATAATGACCTCCAGTTCCATCCATGTTGCAGTGAATGACAAGATTTCATTCTTTTTTATAGCTGAATAATATTCCATTGTGTATATATATATATAACACTTTCTTTATGCATCCATTGATGGGCACTTAGGTTGATTCTATACTTTGGTTATTGTGAATACTGCTGCAATAAATATGAAAGTATAGGTATCTCTTTGATATACTGATTTTCTTTCTTTTGGTAATATACCCAGCAGTGTTTTTGCTAGATCATATAGTAGTTCTATTCTTTTTGGTTTTTTTAGGAACCTTTATACTGTTCTCCATAGTGGTTAGACTAATTTACACTCCCACCAACAGTGGACAAAGGTTCCCCTTTCTCCATATCCTGGTCAGCATTTCTTATTACCTGTCTTTTGGATAAAAGCCATTTTAACTGGCATGAAGTGATATCTCAATGTAGTTTTGATTTGTTCTTCCTTGTTGATTCATGATGTTGAGTATTTTCTCATATATCTGTTGTCCATTTGTATGTCTTCTTTTAAAAAATGTTTATTCAGCTCTTTTACCCAATTTTTAATTGGATTATTTGTTTTGGGAGGATTTTTGGTATTGAATTATTTGAATTCCTTGTATAGTCTGGTTATTAATCCCTTGTTGGATGGGTAGCTTGCAAATATTTTCTCTCATTCTATAGGTTGTCTCTTCACTTTGTTCTTTGTTTCCTTTGCTGTGCTTAAGCCTTTTAGTTTGATGTGATCCAATTTGTTTATTTTTGCTTTTGTTGCCTGTGCTTTTGAAGTCTTACCCCACCCCCAAAACCTTTGCCCAAACCACTGTCCTGTAGTATTTCCACAACATTTTCAGAGTTTCAGGCCTTATATTTAAGTCTTTAATCTATTTTGCATTGATTTTCGTATATAGTGAAAGATGGAGGTCTAGTTTCATTTTTCTGCATATGGATATCTAGTTTTCCCAGCACCATTTATTAAAAAGACTGCCCTTTCCTCAATGTATGTTCTTGGCACCTTTGTTGGAAATTAGTTGACCGTAAATGCATGGATTGATTTCTGGCTTCTCTATTTTTCCCATTGGTTTATGTGTCTGTTTTTAATCCCAGTACCATGAGTTTGTGTTACTGTAGTTTTGTAGTATAATTTGAAATCATGTAGTGTGCTGCCTCCAGCTTTTCTTTTTCCTTTTCTTTCTTTTTTTTTTTTTTTTTTCTTTTCTTTACTCAGGATTTTTTTAGCTATTTGGGGTCTTTTGTGATACCATATTAATTTTAGCCTTGTTTTTTCTATTTCTGTGAAGAATGTCTTTGGTATTTTGATAGGGATTGCATTGAATCTGTAGATCCCTTTGGGTAGTAGCATGAAAAGTTCTTTTAAGGCAGAAGTGACATTATTCCAGAAACAACAGTTATATTGTAACTGACAGCCTCAGCTACCAGATATCCTCTAAACCATCAGTGCCCTTTCTGGCACCAGGGACTGGTTTCTTGGAAGACAGTTTTTCCACGGAATGTGGGGAGGGTAGAGGTGAGGGTCTTCAGTGCCTCAACTCTCCCTCAGATCAGGCACTGGATTTTCATGGAGAACATGCAACCTGGATCCCTCACATGTGCAGTTTGCAGTGGAATTCTTGTTTCCATAAGGATCTGATGCCGCCAGTGATGGCTGGGGTGGGGCTTGGGCAGTAATGTGAATGGTGGGGAGTGGCTGTGGGTGCATGTGGGGCTTCTCTGGCTCACTCCACCTCTTATTTTCTGCTGTGCAGCCTGGTTCCTGGCAGGTGGTGGACAGTGGATGGGTGCTGGTCTGCTGCCTGGGTGTTGGGGACTACAGCTGTAAACCACTGGGTAGACATTGGACCATTTTGAGGTAAAAATCACTGGTTTTTTAAATCCTATTCATGCTGAAATTAAAAGAAAGAGAAAAGAGAGGAGAGGGGAGCAGAGGTGAAGAGAAGAGATCCTATTCATGGAACAGTTTCTAAATTATAGCCATTCTACAGGTGTTGGGTATCACTTATTTTGTCAAGGACAGCTTATTTCTAACATCATTATGGTGATTAAAAACTACTAATTTCATCAATAACATAGCTATTTGCCATTCAGAATCCTAATTAAAATAGTTGAGTGTTTCACAGACATGGTTATAGAAACACTTGTAGCCTTCTCTGAGGTGACCTTTCCTGATATATATTTGCTACCCACCCTAGACCATGAATTTTTGATTAAAGTATCCAACTATCCTACATGTAGTTTAATCTAACCAACACACATAGTAATAGTACTGTGTTTTTGCTGAAGTATTTTATCTATTTTTTTTTTTTTTTTTTGTAGAGATGGGCTTTTGCTATGTTGCCCAGGCTGGAGTGTGGGGGCCTAATCTTAGCTCACTGCAGCCGTGAACTCCTGGGCTGAAACAATGCTCCCTCCTTGGCCTCCTGAGTATCTGGGACTACAGGTTCACAGCACTGTAACTGGCTGCTGAAGCATTTTAAAGTAAATTGCAGACATGACACAGAGAAATTGGATACTAATACAGTTTATTTCAGTATAGGAGAAAATGAGTTTTGAGCTCCTGTGTTCTTGATAAATAAGAGTTTAAAGGAAAAGCCATTAATTGAAAGGAGATACCATCTCTGGAGACCCAACAATCCAGAAAAAGAAAAGAAAAGGACAGGAAAGGAAAGGGGAGAGGAGGGATACCAGGAAAGGAAAGAGATAGCAGACTTGGAATTGAATAACAGGTAGGAATTTCTTAAGAATTTTACATTTGAATTGCCCCATCTTAAGAAGTTATCTATGCATCCCTAATAAAGAAAATATATGTTCAATCTTAATACTTCATAAATAACTTGAATCTAACATAGTACACAATGTCCAGATTTATTTATATTCAAAATGTTTTTTCTAATGTACCATACTTGACACCTTTTCCACAATTCTGCCATTTTCCTGGCCCTAAATGGTGAGATTGGGAGGCATGTTGTTCTCACTAAACTTCTAAACCACTTTGCAAGGAGCAGAGACAGTTGGTATTCAGTATTCTTCTGATGACCCCATTTTATTAAATTCTCAATTAAAATAGCAGACTTGATATGTTTGAAAGGTTCTGGTGACTTTTTAATCTCTTAGAGATTCATGTAGCACTGAATGGGATTAATTTCAGTAGCTGATTTTCCTTCAGGAATTTTAGTAGTTCTTTTATTTTCATTCCTTTAATACTAGTGGATTTTAAATATTGAAATTTGAAATATTAAAATGCAGAAAGTAAAAGAAAGCAAGTTATGATTACCACAGATAATAGAATATTTAAAAAATTTCTACAGCATTAATAGGGGCCATGAATGCAGCTCAGAGATGTGATTCCTGTTTCATGGGTCTCTATGTAAAAGCTTTTAGTAAGTTGGCCTTTTATGAGATAATTTTCCCAATGGGAAAAAGACTGTAGAGCTGTGAATCAGACCTTTTGATTACACCTATCCATAAAAAGGCAGCATATTGTGTGTTTAGACTAAATTTGAAAATATAGCCAGCTTTAACAGACATTTTAATGAATTGACCACTAAACCAGTTAGGACATAAAATCAATCTTCATTTAGACCTTAATTAGGCAATGAAAACTGCAATTTTGGATTCAGATTCAAGAAACTGTTATGCAAAGCATATTATTTATTTTAGTATTTCTGTGGTTTTGTGTACAGGGAATTGTGATAAACTTGGCCTCTCACAGGTTAAGTCAGAACCATTTCTATTTTTGCGGGGGGGCTCCAATATACTTAAAAATGAAAACATGCTAAAGTCAGATTATAAAAATGCTTGGACTAGTTTAATATTTACATTAACTAGTTTACAATTTTAATTTAAAGCCCCCCAAAATCTATAGTATTTTGCTATTCATGTGCAAATAAAGTTTATTTTAGAAATGTTGTAAAATTACCTAATAGCTTATTATAAGGTAGGATGATCCCATAATATTTAGTCTTATGATGAACATACTCTTCTTTTCAAATTGTCTGTTTATCTCTGAAGAGAGAACTCCACATTTGAGATCCTTCCTGAAAAGTCTAAATTGACTTTTTGATAATGGTGTTTCTGTCCAGCCCTCACCCTGTTCTCTGGGCTCTGAAAGGGAAAAAAGCTGGATTCTAGGCAAAAAGTTGGAGCTTTCTTCTGGCTACTGATTTGCTACTCACTTGGAAAATTCTCTCCCTCTCCTGTTTCCTTTCTGCCAGTTTTTTGAAGTATAATGTTTATAGATTAAAGGGTTTTTGCAAATGGAATATACCTGTTTCACCTACATACATATCAGGAAATAGAACATGACATTAACATTTCTGTAGCTTTCTATGAGCCCTTCCTTTCATTACTTCCCCTATAAAGGTAACTACTTACCTGGTTTTCCTGTTTTTGTTTGTTTGTTTAACTAAATTGGATCTTAAACAATATACTTTTTTTGTGTCTGACTTTTTTCACTTTCACCCATATTGTTGCAGGCTGTCCTAGATCATTTATTATTACTGTTGTGTAATATATCCTTGTGTGAACAGACTGTGATTTATCTTTTCTACTGTGAATGGGCTTTTGGGTAATTTCCACTTTGAGAATTCTACAAATAATACTCCTCTGAGCATTGTGGTATAGGTCTTTTGAGCTGTCATTTTCTATTGGTTTGTAAGGTTTTTTTTTTTTATTCCAGCTATAGTCCTTTGCCAGATATGTGTATAATAAAAACCTCTTCTTCCTCTGGCTTGCCTTTTTACTCTCTTAATGGTTTCTTTTGATAAAGAAAATTATGTACATTTAATATAATCTACATTACCAATTTTTTTCTTTGCTTTAGAAGTTTAAAATTACTTTCTTTAAAAGTAAGTACTTTTTATAATCTTTTAAAGAAATACTCCAAAATCAAGAAATAGTCTCCCACATTTTCTTCTAAAAGTTTTTTGTTGTTGTTTTCTCATTTACATGTGGATCTGTAATACACATAAAGTTGATTTTGTTTATGGTACAAAGTAGGAGTCAAGATGAATTTCTGTCAATATAAAAATACATTTGTTCCAGTATAATTTATTAAAAAGATCTTCCTTTTCCCTTTGTACTGCAGTGTTATCTTGGTCATAAATTAGGTGACCATATATGTAGATCTATTTCTGAACAATCTATTCTGTTCCATTGGTCAGTTCATCTCCTCACACCAATAACATGCTTTCCTAATTACTGTGCCTTGATAATAAATCCAGATATAGAGTAGGATAAGTCTTTTAGTTTTGTTGTTATTCTTCAACATTGCATTGACTGTGCTTGACGGTGAGATTTCCCTATGTTTAAAAATCAATTTCTCAATTATCACAAACATACAAAATAAATAAACTAAAAATGTATTGGGATTTTGGTTAGGATGAATTATAAATTTGGGGAGAATTAACATCTTTACTGAGTCTTTCAATCTATGAATATAATGCATTTGTCCATTTATTTAGATTTTCTTTAATATTTTGTAGTTTTCAATCTTTTGTTTAATTTAAATGTTATTACTTCTGACATCTTGTAAATAAAATAGTTTTTTAAAAAAGTTTTATGTTAAATTATTCATTGCTAGTATATAAAATTACAGGGACCAGCTAAGGTGGCTCCGTACCTATAATCCTAGCACTCTGGGAAGCCAAAGTGGGAAAATCACTTCAGCTCAGGAGTTTAAGACCAGCCTAAGCAAGAAAGAGACCATGTCTTTACAAAAAATAGAAAAAATTAGCCAGTGTGGTAGTGCGTGCCTGTTGTCATAGCTACTGGGGAAGCAGAGGCAGGAGGATAGCTTGAGCCCAGGAGTTTGAGGTTGCAGTGAGCCATCACAACACCACTGCACTCTACCCAGAGTAACAGAGTGAGGCTCTGTCTCAAAAAAAAAAAAATCTAAAAAGCAGTTGGTGATTAGTATTAATAACTATTATGTAGATTCCTTAGAACTTTTCTATACACACGATCATGTTTTTGGCAAATAAAGCTAGTTTTACTTCTTTCTCTTCCGTCATATGCTTTTTAGTTCTTTTACTTGCCTCATTGTACTGGTTAGGATACCCAGTACAATATTCAATGTCAATGATGAGAGCAGACATCCTCACCTTGTTCCCAATCTTAGATATTAATAAAAGACATTGCGTCTTTCATCATTGAGTATGATGTTAGCTATAAATATTCTGTTGATGTGCTTCACTAAGTTGAAGAAGTTCTCTTTTATTCCCACTTTGCTGAGTTTTTATTGGAATAGATTATGCATTTTGTAAAATGATTGTTTTTGTATCTATTTAGATGACTATGTAGTTTTTCTTCTACAGTCTGTTGACAATGGTGAAATATATTGAATACTTTTCAGATGTTGAATCAGCTTTGCATTTCCAGCATGAATCCTACTTTGTCTTGAGGCATTAATGTCTTTCTTTATAACTGTATTTAAATTTTGGGGAGAATATTGGAATCTCTGTTCATAAGGGGTATTGGTCTATAGTTTTTCTTTGATTCTGTTACCTTTGTTTCATTTTAGTATCAGAAAATACTGTCCTTACATAATGATTTGGGAAGTGTTCCTGTATTTTATGAATGAATAGGATTGTTGTTATAGCTTCCTTAAATTCTTTTTTTACTTTTATTTTTTTCTTCTTTTTTTTTTTTTTTTTTGAGACAGTGTCTCACTTTGTTGCCCAGGCTAGAGTGAGTGCCGTGGCGTCAGCCTAGCTCACAGCAACCTCAATCTCCTGGCTCAAGTGATCCTCCTGCCTCAGCCTCCCAAGTAGCTGGGACTACAGGCATGCACTACCATGCCCGGCTAATTTTTTGTATATATATTTTTTAGTTGGTCAATTAATTTCTTTCTATTTTTAGTAGAGACGGGGTCTTGCTCAGGCTGGTCTCGAACTCCTGACCTCGAGCAATCTGCCCGCCTCGGCCTCCCAGAGTGCTAGGATTACAGGCGTGAGCCACCACGCCCGGCCTTATTTTTTTCTTCTTGTTTTTATGCCTTAGTAGGGATGGGGGTCTCACTATATTGTCCAGGCTGGTGTTGAACTTCTGCCCTCAAGTGTCCTTCCCATCTTGGCCTCTTAAAGTGTAAGGATTTTAGGGGCTTGCCACAGAGCCTGGCCTCGGATTTTAATTATGAATTCAGTTTCTACAATGGATATGTGCCTATTCAAGTTTTCTCCTTTTTCTTGACCAGTTTTGTTAATTTGTGTCTTTCAAGAAATTTGTTCATCTAGTTTTCAGATTTATGACATAAAATTGTTTATGATCTTCCTTCCTTATGAGTTAATATTTCTGATTTGTATTGATGTCTCCTTTATTGTTACTGATGTTGATAATGTACCTTACCTCCT